TTATTTATTTTTGTTGGTCGTGGGGCTTGAACTCTGGGCCTGGGTGCTGTCCCTCAGCTCTTCAGCTCAAGGCGAGCGCTCTACCACTTGAGCTATAGCGCTACTTCAGGTTTTCTGGTGGTTTATTGGAGATCGGAGTCTCACGGTCTCTCCTGCCCGGGCTGGCTTTGAACCGAGATCCTCAGATCTCAGCCTCCTGAGTAGCTAGGATTACAGGCGTGAGCCACCAGCGTTCGGCTATTTATTTATTTTTTTTGGTCGGTCATGGGGCTTGAACTCTGGGCTTGGGCGCTGTCCCTCCACTCTTCGGCTAGCGCTCTACCACTTGAGCCACAGTGCCACTTCCTGTGTTTTATTTTTGAAGCTGTTATTTGAAACAAAACTTCTATTTTGACTTTGGAGGAAGACTGTTCAGGAACTTTTAGCTAAATAGGAAGGTGATAAAGAACTCAGCTTTGGAGAGCAGGTGTATCAGGCTTCCCCTGTGAGTAGAAATTTATCTGGGTCTGTTTATATTTCTGGATAAGATCAAGTTCTAAAATATTATTGAAGGTGGACCAGAGAAAATTTGTGCTATTTGTCACAAGTTTAGAACACAAATGGAGCAGTAAAAAAGAGCTGAGATGATGGTTAAAAAAGAAATGTACTCATTATCTGACTTATATAACTGTAACCCCTCTGCCACATCACTTTTATAATAGCAAATAAAAATTAAAAGAAACAGAAATAAAGAACTGAGATGAACAAGCTTTACTTTATTTAAGAGTTTTCACTGGATTTCCTGTGTTTTACATAAGTATGGAAGTAGTTTTATGCATCAAGAACAAAAGTTCTTCCAATGATATTAAAATAGTAACTTTTCATGTTTGGATAACACTTTATTGCTGGCAATTTCTTCTTAAACACTAAACTTGTACTGATAATACCTCTGAAAGTCACATATAAGAGGTGTCACTCTCTATTTTACAAAGAACAGAGAAGCAAGTGGCTCTTTTATTATACACCGGGTTATCTTGCAGTTGAAAAACCAGCCACGTTTCCTGACTCCTCCCCTCCAGGGTTCTAATTAATTCTAATTCTAATTAATTTTATTTAGTTAATAGAACTTCCTATCTGATACAAAGTGAGTGGATGAAAAGCTTCCCCTTAGGCAATGCCTAATTTTGTATGCTACCAAAATTTAGTCTAGTTTTATGAGGCTAAAATTAACTGGCTTTGTGTCACACATGCACAGATGAGTCAGATTTGATTCTTTATCTGGGAGAGACAGATGCTAATCAATAGTTACAATCCATTAAGACAAGGACTATGGTCATAACATATTACTTCAAATCATTTTAGTTCTCTGTTCTTCAGTTGCTGCTATTGTCTAATGTAAGTATGTAAAAGACAAACTTGAAGCTAGTTGCCGGTGGTTCACACCTGTAATCCTAGCTACTCAGGGGGCTGAGATCTGAGGATCATGGTTCAAAGCAAGCCTGGGCAGGGAAGTCTGTGAGACTCTAATCTCCAATAAACCATCAGAAAACCAGAAGTGGTGCTGTGGCTCAAGTGGTAGAGCACTCTACAGCTTGAGGTAGAGCTGAGGGACAGCGCTTAGGCGCGGACTAATCTGCCCCCCATTGATCCCCCCCCAAAAAAAAGGAGTATTAAACTTTTTTTTTTTAAGATAGTTTTTGCTATGTTGCCCAGGCTGTGGCCCTGAACTGCTGAGTTCAAGCCCTATCCGCTTGCATTCCATTTCCTGAGCAGCTAAGACCATGGAGCTTTTCCTAACAAAAGTATGCAGAAGCTCTTCTATTTTGAGAACCAGAATTATATTGAGGATCAGAGAGAATTTGAAGCTGCGTCAGGTTTAAGCTTTGCTAATGGCAAAGTTACTAGTTTAGGGCTGCTTGTGAACCCTCAGCATAAAGCTTAGCACAGAGGAACCACTCATTTTCTTCCATAAGGAAGAGGCTTCGAAGGCCTGAGAGAACAGGCACACTTACAACACTGTTGGACTGAAGAGGAGAAGGGGGGAGAATACAGTCAAAATGACAACTTTGTACAACTACCTAAAGATAGTTGAAAAAAAAAAAGAATTCAATGTATGTCCTACATAAGAAAAGTGAGGGAAAGAATGGGCTGGGAGGGATGGGTGAGAATATTGAAAGGGGTGGCAGTGATCAAGATGTAGTGTATTCATAAGATTCTTTGTTAAATGGCAACTCCTTTTTATAACTGTTTAGATTAAAAATAAAGAACACTGCTGAAGGCAGCAGAAAAGTTAATGTGGACACTATAGAAGAATGGGAATGATTTTTTTTTTTTTTTTGCCAGTTCTGGGGCTTGAATTCAGGAACTGGGCACTGTTCCTGAGCTTCTTTTGCTCAAGACTAGCATTCTACCACTTGAGCCACAGTGCTATTTCTGGCTTTTTCTGTTTATGTGGTACTAAGGAATCCAACCCAGGGCTTCATGCATGCAAGGCAAGCACTCACATTCCCAGTTCTGGGAATGATTTTTTTTATTTTCCTTTTTAAAAAATTATTAATAAGTTTTTATTGTGAAAATACTGTACAGAGGGGTTACAATTACATGAGCAAGGTAATGAATACATTTCTTTTTTTTTTTTGGGGTCCTGTCATGGGGCCTGAACTCTGGGCCTGGGCGCTGTCCCTCAGCTCTTCAGCTCAAGGCTAGCGCTGTACCACTTGAGCCACAGCGCCACTTCTGGCTTTTTTCTTTTTGCTTATGTGGTGCTGAGGAATCGAACCCAGGGCCTCATTCATGCAAGGCAAGTGCTCTATCACTGAGCCACCGCCTCCTCCTTTCCCCTTACCAAATCCCTGCCCCCTCTTCTGCCACCCCCCCACCCCCCCGCCAAAGCTGTAAAGTTCGTTTTGCGACATAAGATCTTGTACATCTCATTGTTGCAATGGGTCTACCTATATCCCTATTTAAACAATTGTTTTTTCCCTTCCCCTCCCCAAATTATACCAACATCAAATACAGTGAAAACAGGGGTTATACTGTGGGGAAAGGACATACAAAGCAACAAAGAAATCATCTTATAAATATGTTAGAAACAATAGCAAGAAAGAAAAACCATTTGATTCCTTATCTTGGGGTTCATTTCTCCTAATATCAACTTATCTGACCTTTTCTGCTTGTCTCTGACATATACTAGTTATTGCAAATAAGGGAAACCATGGGACCTATGTTTCTTTGGGCCAGGCTTACTTCACTTAACATAATTTTTTTCCAAGTCTTTCCATTTCCTAACAAATGGGGCAATGTCATTCTTTCTGACCGAGGCATAGAATTCCATTGTGTACATATACCACATTTTCTTGATCCATTCATCTACTGAGGGGCATCTGGGTTGGTCCCACATCTTAGCTATGGTAAGTAATGCTGCAATAAATATAGTTGTGCTGGGAGCTTTAGTATGGTCTTGTTTGTGATCATTTGGGTAAATGCCCAAAAGTGGGATTGCTGGGTCATAGGGGAGCTCTATGTGAAGTCTTTTGAGGAACCTCCATACTACTTTCCAAAGTGGTTGAACAAGTTTACACTCCCACCAACAATGCAATAGGGTTCCCTTCTGTCTACATGAAGAAATGCTCAACCTCCCTAGCCATAAAAGAAATGCAAATCAAAACAACACTGAGCTACCACCTCACCCCAGTTAGAATGGCTATAATCAAGAACTCTAATAACAACAGATGCTGGAGGGGCTCTGCGAATGATTTTTGAAAGGCTTTGTCATAGTAACTTTACTGCTCTCAGCAACATTTTCTTAGAAGATGAGTTGAAGAAAATCTTAAGAGATGATCAGGCACATTTCAGAGAGACAAGTGGCAGACCTGCATTCTCAGAGTTTTGAACAGTTCCTGCCTAACACACAAATGTTTGTGAGGGGAAGGAGTAGATAGGCATATCACCCCCAAGGGCGGATATCAGGGTGCACCAGAAATGTCTGAAAGTCAGGTGTCCATCCTGATGCTTGCTTGGACCTAACTATATAGAAAGAAGCCAAATAACAAGTGATCTGCAAGCTGGCAACTTATAAACTTTGTAATGTGAGCACATTCAGAAAACAGGAAGACATTATATTGTTTAGCTACATCATAAGGATTGGGATGCTAGGATACAGAAATAAAAAACATTTATCTTCAACTCCCAAGTATAGAAAGCCTACTAGGAAGACACATGAATAGGCTACAGAGTAATCTGTGGTCGCATGGTGGTGCCATCATGGAAAGCTTTGAGAACACAGGCAGGTTTATGGATAATGGCGATGGCAGCAGCATGGTCTTCTAAGTATTGGTGTCATTTTAATTTTGTTCTTCAAAGGGGAGGAGCAAGTACAAGAAATGACAGGTTAGAGGAAATAGCGCAAAGGTTGACTTGGTGAAACAGAACAAGTTGTTGAATGTAAGTAAAATATAGTAAGAAATGAAGCTGAAGTTTGATTAAAAACTAAAATGGAACTCAGTATACTGAATAAATTATCAAACACCCTTCCTAAGTCACATTATTAAAATGTAAGTACCTGTCTAATGGAAAATTTCCATTGCAGTAAGGGCGTTGCCTCTAAAATAGAAATATAAACCATTTGTATATTATTATTATTTTTTTGGCATTTCTAGGGTTTGAACTCAGGATCTTATACTTTCTAGGCAAGTGCTCTATTGCTGAGCTACTCCTCCAGTCCTGCTTTTCACTGAGTATCTTTGAGATAGCTTCCTCTGGGTTAGCTTGGACTTCAATCTGCCAACATTATGCTCCTGGCAGTTGCAAGGAAGACAGGTGAATGCCAACTGTATCCAGCTTCCTTTCATTGAGTTGGATTCTCTCAGACTTTTCTGCTGGGGCAGGCCTGTAACTGTGATCCTTCCAATCCCAGTCTCCCAGGTAGATAGAATTAAAGGCATGAGTCATTGGTGCTTGGCTCCTTAAATATTATTTTCAATGCAACTATAAAAAATTCCTGCCGGGCACTGGTGGCTCATGCCTGTAATCGTAGCTATTCAGGAGACTGAGATCTGAGGATCATGGTTCAAAGCCAGCCTGGGCAGAAAAGTCTGTGTGACTCTTATCTCCAATAAACCACTAGAAAACTGGAAGTGGCACTGTGGCTCAAGCTGTAGAGCACTCCCCTTGAGCTGAAAAGTGCCCAAGCCCAGAGTTCAAGCCCCACGACCGACAAAACATAAATCCACTCATTTATCATTTTTCTCTTTTAAAAATGTTTTTATGTAAATCTTATTGAACATGGGCTTCTTGCTGGGGGGAGGGCTTAACTGATAGAGCCAAGTCCTAGGCATGGAGTTCAAACATCAGTACCAACACCAAAAAAAGCCTTCTTTGATGGGACAGTAAGTAAGAATATAAAAATTGCTTCCTCTTTGTTTGGAGGTCCTAGCAGGGGAGCACAGCTACTTGTATACCCTTGACTAAAGACTAGTTCTCTGTCAGGAATGGTCATCCTCTTTGGCTGAGCATGCAGCTTCAGAAGGGACGCACATGGAGCCAGCCAGATCAACCAAATCAACCTTGGCAATCAAAGACAGGGGTGACAGATGTCACAGCCAGATCACCCTTACATTCAAAATTGCTTCTTTTGTAAGACTCATACTCATGACACATTTAAAATTATTACTTCCATTAAAGAACAAATAGACTATAATCTTAAGGTTTTTGAAGTCTAATATACATTTATAATTTACTGGCTGAGGTTAAACATGAACACATTTCCTATAAGTTTGGACCTCCAAAGTGGCATCATTTTTGTCTTTGTCTACTGCTTTATCTCTGGAACTTAGGAGAGTGATTGACACAGAGCAAATATTAGTCTGTTTTGTTACTGAAAAGTGAATGCAAGGTGAGACACATGAGATATGTAAAGAAAACCATGGAAACCTTTTCGGTTCCATGTGACAGGAGCTAAGATGAAGAGGGCAAAGTGCTAGGGAGGCAAATAAGAAGGGCCTTTTGTCAAGGAAATCCTCTAGTACATGGTGATGCTTGTGTTGAGTCTTAAGGAAAGGAGTTGGAACAAGCCAGGCAAATGAAGAGGTGATGGCAAAGGGAAAATTTCTTAGAGGAAGTGTAAGGCTAAAGGTAGGCAGGAGTTCTTTGTGCCACAAATATGGAGTTCTTAATAATAATTTGAAAAAATCGTAATGTAAACTATATAGGAATATAAAGAAAACCAACTATATTAAGTTACAAAATTATAAAGATTTTGTGAGGAAGTATAATTTTCCTATCCAAGATGACCGATGGTGAATTTTATCCATGGATCCCTTGGGGGGCTACTTACCTAGTGATAAGTGTACACTGAGGTAAAGATTGAAGACCTAAGTGGAGAAGAAGAGGTCTGTGAGAAGTTTAAGAGCTGAAACAATTTATGGATGTGGTAATGGATTCTTAAAGAAAAGAGAAACATTTAGATTGATACTAAGGTTTCTGGATAATGATATCCAACATTAGGATAATTGACTAAGTTTAGAAAGGTTTCCATATAAGCCTCTAGTCTTGGAAAATATAATTGTTGACTAAGCTAATTAACCATTCCTACAGATCCTTCCAAACTTTGAAAGATTAATGAAGATAGAACTGTCTGTCAGATTCCCTGAAGAGTCTGACATTTGCTCCTGGATAAGAATTTAGAGCATACCTTTTAAACTCAAGTGCATTGCTCTCTCTACCAGGATACTGACTGCAACAGTTCCATCCAATTCAGTGTGGCCCTCATTGGGCTGGCAGACTTCAGCAGCAGTGCTGGTGCAGAGGACCTGTGTAGGGGCAGGAGACTTCTCGTGGTCACCAGGTGGGGAGAGTTGGATCTCATCATTCCTGCTGGGGAGCTGCTCAGACTCACTGTGGCTGCTGTAGTCCATGGAGTCTTGATCATGAGCAGGCTCCATGTGTGGGGAAAGAGAAGAAAGAACCACATGAACTCGTAGGGCAGCTCCAAAGAGGTTGGAAGCATTCCGTCCAAACAGAGGATACACACCTAGCAAGGGAATGGAGAGGAATAAGCATAGGTGAACAGGAAACTCTCACATTCTGGGGGAATACTCACTGAAAATGCTTATGTCCTCTTTCCTGTGATAGGACTACAGGCCCAATAGGCAATTTGCTAAAGAAACTTAGTATACAAATAGAGAATTTTTGCCCAGTTCCTATTATTTCTAGTAATAAGTAGTGAAATTGATATGAAGCTTAAACCAAATGACGACTTGGCAGAGCTGTTATGGAAGTGATTAGATAAGTCTAACATTGAGTAAAAGAAGGAATGGCTTCTCTTCTCCTTCACATGTTTCATAGTCTCCTAATTTCATACTTCTTCCCATCAGGAAGTTGTCCTAGAGCTCAATTTGTCCTTTCTTCACCAACTAAAAACGTTCTGAAAGTAACCATGAAGATCTATTGTCAGGGAGGTAGTGGCAGGAGGCAAGAAGAAAGAGTAAGGGAATTAAATGGATTTGTGTATGTTTGTGTTTACATGTGTGTGCTGGCCGTGGGACTTGAACTCAGGGACTGAGTGCTGTCCCTGAGCTTTTGTGCTCAAAGCTAGCACTCTATCACTTGAGCCAAAACTCCACTTCTGGCTTTCTGGTGGCTAATTGGACATAAGAGTCTCATAGACTTTTGCCTGACTTTGGACTGCAATCCTCAGATCTTAGCCTCCTGAATAGCTAGGATTGCAGGCATGAGCGACAGGTACCTAGTATGGGAAATAAAAAAAAAATTAAGGCCAAGCATGGTGGTGTGTGTTTATAATTCCAGCACTCGGGAGGCTGAGGAAGGAGTACCCTAAGTTAGAGACCAGCCTGGGATATTTAGTGATTTCAAGGATTTAGTGATTTTAAGACCATGTCTTAAAACAAAACACAATAGAAAGCAAAACAAAAAAATGCATATATGTATGTATGCATGCCAGAATCTCAGAAAGGATAAATGATCTGCCAAAGTTGCTCTTCCAGTAAGTGATAAATTTAAACACAGGGATTTGAATTTTACTGGTTTGCTGGATCTTAAAATGAGATTTTATTTATAAAACAGGAAATACTAATAGTTCCTTTTGAGTCAGAATTTACTTTGTTAGACTTATTCCAATTCAGGAAAATGGAGTTAACTAGTTCATAGATGGCAACAATACAGACTTTTGGGTCTTTTTAGTTTCAGATAACCTGTTTTCCTACCTATGCAAATTTTAAATTACATGATCAGCACAAGCAGAAAATAACGGCAAGCCATAGGAAGACACCCAAAATAATAGTAAATCTTTATCCTTGGGAAACTTAATAGTACATGGAAGTAGGCTGGATGTATGAGTGAATGGACTGAGACTTATTTACAAACACATCAAATGCAATGCCTTGTATAAGTCCCCTGTTCAGCAAATTAAAAAAAAAAAAAAAACTTAGACTGGGGAATATAGAGAAGTATAAGGGATGTGGATAATCTGAAAAACTAAGTAACCCCTCTGGAACCACTTAGTAAAAAGAGGTACTTATACTAGTGTTCTGACTCCTAGAGTTATATTCAGTGTCTCAGATCCACTTTCTTTAGTAGAAATATAATTCAATAATACAATTATTCAGTAAAATACAATTAAAAGCCTGATTTCCCTCAACTGTAAAGTGAGGGAAATAATTTGACTGGTATGTCAAATAAATATCATATTTGTAAAGAATCTATTCTGGCTAATTTCAATTCATTCCACATTATAGTTGCAAACTTGTTTTTCTAGGATGCAAAGCTATGTCATTGTTGTATTTGATACCCAGTATGTTAATTTCCTACAGCTCTTGGAAAAAATTTCAAACTTTTCTGCTTAGAAGAAAAGGTCTTCAATATATTCTTACCCACCCCACCTCTCTAGCTTCACTTTCCAACCTATGTATCCTCAGAACCAGCTGATCCAAATTACTTATAGCACTGAAATGAATTTGACTGCTTCATACCTTTGGCCTCCATACATGTTTTTACTCTGTTTAGAATATCCTTCTTTCCCTATTTCTTCGCTTATTCCCAAGTCCTTTGAAACTCAGGTCAAGTATCACTTTTAGTGAGATGTGGTTCTCCAAGCAGAGATGTTGAATTACCAATTTTGTTGAATACCAATCTTTAGTTCTTATACTTCACTATAATTTTTTACTGCTTTTTCTCCCATTAGGCTGTAAATTTAGTGAGGCTAAGGATTATTTCTTATTCTTTTCAAATTTCTAAGATTTAAACAAAATGTTTGAAAAAAAAAAAGAACCTAGCATATACCACTTGTAAAATGTAACCTTTCCCTTTTTGCCTTAAAAATCAGTTTGTTACCATGGCCATTTCCTTTATGATTCTAAGATGTGCTAATTAGACAGGATACATATCCTGGTTCCCTTGGTCGGTATGCTTTTCAGTGTTATTAACAAACCATTATCCGAGATGATCACAGAATCTCTTGTACATGTGGGTAAAGGCAGTTTCTTAAATTCATTCATTCTCATTCATATGTATTATCAGAGTACTTACAATACTCTGGTACTACGCTATAGGCACAATTTAGATGCAGAGCATATACTCAAACCACAAGCGCTGAGCCTAACTCCTCACTTACCACTGACAGTTAGTGTCCTTGTTGACCTATCCCCAAGTCTAGCCAGGTCAACATAGGCTGAGCCAATCCAGCTGTCTGTCTGCTGAGGTCTCTCCACACTATCATTGCCATAAGCTCGCCACACTTGGATCTCTAACCTTTCCTCCCTGAAGTACCAAAGTAGTGATGGGCACCGAGTGACTTCTGCTCTCTTGGATACCTTGAAAGTAACCATGACCTGGTTTTTGTTTGCAGATTCCTTAGGCTTCTTGAGAGGGGTCCAAAAAGCTTCATGATCATATAGTTTATAGCGAAGGTAGAAATATGTATTTTTATGAATGTACTTGTGGCCAGCAAGTAGTACACAATGGGTAGGCAGCCACAATCTTGGAGTAGAGATGGTGACAATGGCTGGCTCCTCTTCATCCATCTTAACAAGATCCTTTAGGCCACTCTCAAAGCTCCAACCCAACAGCTCAGCAGCTTCCAATACCCGCTCTCTATCTCCAGGATGGGTGAAGGAAACTGAAAGTTCCAGACCACCAACAATCTTCTGCATAAACTCCAATCCATGAGGCAGACCCTCATCTTCAGGTAAAATGACAGGATACCATCCTGTGATCCCTTATGAGAGACAGAGTTTTAATTATTATCTTACAAGTAAAGAAACATGTCCTACTATTTTCCTTTTCTCTCTCCTTCCTTCCTTCCTTCCTTCCTTCCTTCCTTCCTTCCTTCCTTCCTTCCTTTCCTTCCTTCTCTCTCTCTCTTTTTTTTATTATTGATACTTTCAAGACCCAATACAGGACTTGAAATTGAGGCCCCATGCTTGCTTGGCTTACTTGCTGAGCTGGCATCCTGCCACTTGAGTTATGCTTCCAGCCCAGCACTTTGCTGGTTAATTTTGGAGATGGAGTCTCATGAACTTTTCTGTCTGAACTGGCTTTGGACTGTAATACTGTGGATATCAGACACCTAAGTAGCTAGGATTACAGGCCTGAACCACTAGTACAAAGCTGCACCTGACTATTAAGAGGCAGACAATGAGAGTAAATGGGAGGATTAGATGAGTGTTCTGAGCATTGAAATTGTTTGACCACTGAGACACACTTCTTCAATCTAGTAACAGGAAAATACAATCCAATCCAACCATTACTCAGGCTAAGTAATCTAAAGAAATCAACAACTAAAGGACACAGGAAATTTCCACCAAAACTTGACCCTCGATGCATAAATCCCAGCAAAGAATCACTAAATTCATGAAAAAGCAAGGCAACAAGCTTTTCTCAAAAGCCAACAACTTCATAATAAAGGACTTACAGGATGGTGAAAAGGAAGACAGTTCAAACAATAAACTCATTTAAATAATAAAAAGTGATCACTGAAATAAAGTAAGTTTAATACCTGAACAAACTCAAAGAGGATACAAACTGCTAGTGAATTCAGACAAATGAACAAAATAAGAAGGTAATCAGGATATGAAAGAGAAATTAATTCGATAAAGATAGAAATCTTGGAAAAAATATTAAATTAAAATCCTAGAAATGAGCTTAACAGCCCAAATGAAAACTCAATCAATGGGGGGGGCAGTTGGGGGAGAGAAAGTAGGAGAAAAATAAGGGACGGGGTAACAAGTTTGCTAAGAAATGTACTTACTACCTAACTTATGTAACTGTAACCCCTCTATATATCACCTTGACAATAAAAAAAAAAAAAAAACATAATCAAAAGCCTAGCTAACAGGGCTGGGAAGGTGGCTCAGTGGTAGAGCGCTTGTCTTGCATGCATGAGGCCCTGGGTTTCATTCCTCAGCACCACATAAGCAAAAAGAAAAAAGCTGGAGGTGGCACTTTGGCTCAAGTGGTAGAGTGCTAGCCTTGAGCTGAAGAGCTGAGGGACAGCGCCCAGGCCCAGAGTTCAGGCTCCACGACTCTACCCCCACCCCAACCAAAAAAAAAAGCCTAGCTAACAGAACATAACAAATTGAAATACGGTATCAAGGGATGAAGATAAAGCAGTTAAAGGCATCGAAAAACACTTAGAAGATACAAATGGTATTCATATAACCTCTTAGACTCCATTAAAAAGATCAAATCTGGCCATGCACCAGTGGCCCATATCTGTAACCCATTTTCTTGTACTTCATATGAAAACAATAAGACTTTATATCTTTGTCAGGAAAGATTATCCTGTGGCTTAAACAAGGTGAGAAACATATTTTACAAAGTGCTATATAATGCAATGGGTATTGCCCCCTTCTTCTTTTTATTATTAGTATTATTCCTTCTCTTCTTCCTCTTTTTTTTTTGTTGGTCATGGGGCCTGAACTCTGGGCCTGGGCGCTGTCCCTCAGCTCTTCAGCTCAAGGTGAGCACTCTACCACTTGAACCACAGTGCCACTTCCAGCTTTTTCTGCTTATGTGATGCTGAGGAATTGAGCTCAGGGCCTCATGTATGCAAGGCAAGCACTCTACCACTTAAGCCACCTTCCCAGCTGCTCTATCAATCAAAGGAAAGCGAATAGGCAAGGGTAGGATAAGAAACTGGTAATTCAGAATCCTTACCAGATCTCTTGACTAGCAGGTCTTTTGTTGGAACTTTTACTACTCCAAGTAGATGTTCTTTGCATGAATGGAGGCTGATTATATCACCGACTATTGAATTAAACAAAGAAAACGTATTTGGAAATGTACTGACCAAGGGCTGGTATTTACAGTATACTCATATAACTTATAGTCACTGAGGCTCAGTGCTGAAAAATGCATCTTGTTTACATCCCAATCATCTTGTTTACATCCCAATCAAAGTCTGAATGCCCTTAAGCTGTTTTTTTTTTTTGGTTGGTCATGGGGCTTGAACTCTGGGCCTGGGCGCTGTCCTTCAGCTCTTCAGCTCAAGGTGAGCACTCTACCACTTGAGCCACAGTGGCACTTCTGGTTTTCTAGTGGTTTATTGGAGGTAAAAGAGTCTCACAGACTTTCCTGCCTGGGCTGGCTTTGAACCGTGATCCTCAGATCTCAGCCTCCTGAGTAGCTAGGATTATAGGCAAGAGCCACTGGCACCCGGCTGCCCTTAAACTTTTTAAATCAACATTTCAAAAAAAAAATTCAGATATACAGAAAGATTGCAGGAAAATTATAATGAATTCCTAATACAGCCTATATCCAGATCCACTCATTAACTGTCTCTGTACTTTTTCTCTCATGTACTTTGTATTCATATTTTTCATATTCATATTGTATTCATATCCTTCAGAAGTAAGTTGTGTAGATCATGAATCTAACTATTTCAGCATGCATTTCATTAAAAATAGGGCTGCTTTTAATGTGGATCATGATAGATCATTTAGTACTCACCTGACTTGGTATTTTCATGATAGATAGCAAAAGTAATTTCTGCAAACTCCAATAGCTCTGCCAGGAAACAGGCTTCTCCACTAGAGTGCTGAGTCACCAAGTTACATGGGAGCTCAATGTAATGGGAGAACTCAGGGCAGAAGGAACAGGCCACAGGGCGGGTTCGGCGCTGCTCTCCCTTGGGTAGGAATGAGAGATGGGTGGTGACAGAGGCATTAACTCCCACAGTGGCACTGAACTGTAGAGCAGGATCCTGCTCAGCCAAAGCCCTGTAGGAGAGAGGGGAGGAAATGAGAAGGTTTTGTCAGAAGTTAGCTTGACTGACTAGAAATACTTCTATAAGACTACCAAGAACACAACAAAGTACCTATCTGGCTTTTGAGAGTACCACAATGTGTTTTTTTTTCTAGTAATAAAGATACCACAGCATGGGGATGAGGGAAGGAGAAGAGAGAGGGAAAGAGAGGAAGGGAGAGGGAGGGTGGGGAGAGAGATATTATACTGTCAACATCCATCCAGGAACCAACTGTAGTTGTACATATTGCTGACTGCAATAAAGGAAAATATATACCATGGAAAACCATAGGGCATCTCAATAAGAAAGTACCAGGCATCTCAATAAGAAGGTACCAGAATGTACTTGTACTTAGAGCACTTGGCTTGTGCTGACTGATTTGATTAAAGGAGCAGAGTTTGGTTTTGCATCCAATTTCTCTCTTTTCTCTGTCTCCACCTCTTTCTCTTTCTTCTCCCTTTCCTCCCCTCTGATTTTTTGTTTTTGATGGTACTGTGGATTGAATTCTGGGTCCTGCTCTACCACAAGAGCCATGTCCCCAGTCTTTTTGTCTTTTGTTTTTCAGATTGGCTCTCATACTAGCTTTGTCTAGGCTGGCCTTAAACTGCAATCTTCCAGTTTCTGTCTTCCAAGTTGCTGGGATTATAGATGTGTCCATGGCTTAGAGAAAATTGACATTTGGACATTTCCTGATATATCCTAAAGCAGACTTCAGGGTTCTTTAAGATCTCACTATAGAATAACTGGAGTTAATTTGGGAGTTAAATGGATAATTTGGTGTTAACTGGATTCATTTGGAGTTATATAAATCTGGGTTTGAATCTTATATGACTCAAGACAAGTTATTCAACTTCTTCCAAGTCTATTTCTTTTTCACTAAAATGAGCCTACAAAAGGTTACAACAAATAGTGAGAGCACATATATTGGCATGCTCATTGCAATTCATTTCTAATAAGAAAAGGTAAATAACCCAAATGATCATTAACAGAAGACTCATCTGCAGCCATACTTTTTTGTCTGTCACGGGACTTGAACTCAGGGCCTGGGCTCTGTCCCTGAGCCTCTTTGTACTCAAGGCTAGCTGGTGCTCTACCACTTGAGCCACAAAGCCACTTCCGGTTTTTGAGTAGTTAATTGGAGATAGGAGTCTCACTGGGACTGTTCTGCCTGGGCTGGCTTCAAGCCATAATCCTCAGATCTCAGCCTTCTGAGTAGCTAGGATTACAGGTGTGAGCCACCAGAACCTGGCTGCAGACATACTTTTACACGGTAAAGTACAGTGTGAGAAAAGTCAGGTGGAAATACATTGAATGTTAGCAACATTGAAAAAAATGAGGATTTCAAAAGTCATACCGAGTATTGTGAAGAAACCACTGGATAATAGCTACAAAGCACAGAACCTGTCTGTAGACAGTGAAAAGACTTTTAATAGGGAATTCTCAAGAAATAGCAATAAGAACAAAAAAAAACTTGGGCCAAACTGGTATGAATTATTTGCTGAAAATATGCTTGATTGTCATGCACTTGGATCAAAGCTGGATATTTATTTATTTATTTTTGGGTCCGGTCATGGGGCCTGAACTCTGGGCCTGGGCGCTGTCC